TAAAACAAGCTGACCTGACAGGTTTTGTTTTGTCAAATCAAGTGTGTAACATAATGCAAAGTTATAAAGCTTTCTAACTAGTAAGTTACTAAGAATAACTTTTAACGATAGCTAGGTATATTAAACATACTTATTACCTAGCTAGCTATTAGCTAGCTATTAGCTAGCTAGCTGATCTAGCATCAGTAAAATGAGATAATTATTGAATTTTTATTTTAAGGAACGATTTGTACTTTTATTTTTTTAAGGGATTTTTAATAAAATGTACCTATAATGTAGAAATAGAGAATTCATATAAAGAATTAAAAAAATATATTTTTAGGTTCTTCCCTGATTTTTTCCAATTTTTTTCTACAGAAGAACCTTGGACTTAAAAGAATATTTGAAAAAAGAATTAGCCTAATTCGTCCAGCCGTTTTCGAGTTTTGCGCTTAGCGGCACATTTAGCCATTCATTTTTATTTATAAGATGATTTTTTTTTTAAATCAAGCTCGAACTATTCAAGTACGTTCAAGCGCAGCACAAGACACCTTAAACGTAAAAAATCTCGTAAAACAAAGTGATCTCAACAGTGTAAACTGTAACGCTAAAGTCTGAATGTTTTTTAATTAAACTTTTTTACAAGTCACTTCGCTGAGCGAACTCTGGGATATTACACTTCGTAGTAAAGAATAAAAATCACTTTATATTTTATCTACTCTACTCAAAAAAAAACAAAAAAAAATACGTAGGTATCATATAACATTAAATAAGCAATCCTTTTAAATATATATAAAATTATATCTTGCTCTCGGAAACGGCTCTAACGGTTTGGATCAAATTTTGTATTTAGATAAGGTTAATATAAGAAAAAGGGAAATAATCAATTAAAACATTACGACCCGCACTCTGCGCCTGACGTTTTGATTATAAAACATTCACTTTCCATACATATAACATTCATATATCATAGGTACTAAGCCTTCCAGAAGAATTTCTCTATATGATAGCGAAAACCGTATCAAAATCGGTTGCGTAGTTTAGAAAGAAGCTCAAACAGACAGACGTGAATAGTGCTTTTATTAAATACTATTTATTGATGATACCCTACAATCTATAAGCTGTATAGAGGTACAATGCCTTATTTAAAAATAAATCAGTACAAACTCAAATTCATTAAATTCGAATTAATTCAAAAAATGGGTACCTGCAAAGCTAAAAAAACTACAAAAAAATTATTTGCTATTTGTATACCAGGAAAATTCCCATTTAATTAAAAATGTCTTCTATTCGAGTAAATCTAAGAAATTTTATTTTCGAGTAAATCACGAGATAGAAAGGGAATACAGGTTAAAATTCAGAACTTTTAAAAGGTGGGAAAATGGTTTGCATGTGAGTTGTATAGGTTTATTTTGATCTTCAGCACACGCAGGGCTTTAAAACGTGCTGTTAAAATAAATGACAGATTTTCTTTTGACATTTTTTTTCTTTCTATCAGTATCGGCGGCTTCGCCCGCTACCAAACTACACAGGATCACCCGGTGGCTTAATCTGAAAATTGCCTAAAACCATCAAAATCGCTCCAGCCGTTTTGGAATCCATAGGGAACATACATACACACATCGATTTTCATATACGTATATAGATTCTGCCAATTTTTCATTTAAAAATCCAAGTTAGAATGATAAATTAATAGTATAAAACCTAGATATTAATAGTGACCACTAAATTCGCCTCGTACCCGAGTACGCGGGCAGAAACGCGAACAAAAGCTAGTTAATACAACAAGAAAGATTTCCTCACAACTCATTACTTTTTGCACCTCTTCCGTCGAGCTAACGATCTAAAATTACATAAATCAACTGATAATTAAGTTAAAAAACCAACACGCGAGATTATATCATCTTCACTTATATGACTTCATATTTCTAATTTATGTTTGCCTCATCAAGTGTGCAAACAACTAAAACCTATCTAATGAGGCTTGCTGATAAGAAATGTTCAGATTTATTTGTTCTTGTTATTAATTTGAAATTAAACTTTATGTTTGTCGCTCGTTTACATTAAAATGGCTGGACGGATTTGAATGAAATTTAAGATACAGATAGACTATGACCTGAAGCAACAGTTAGGCTATGTTAGGCATCGAGGCATCCCGAGCGAAGCGAGCTAGTAAAAAAGACCTGAGACTAGAATTCGAGCCATATATTTGAGATCTCAATTTGTTACAACTATTTGCTCATTTGCACCAAATATGTTTGTAATAGTATAAATCAGTTTAAAACAAGATCTTTCTCGTCACTGCATTCCTCTATTTCCTTACTTGGAATGACCTAATCTATCTTAAATCAGCTTCATTCGCTATCAGTTTTATTCGCAATACACACACGTACGTACGTATATAAGTACAGACATACATCTCATACAATGTGAATTGTTTTACTTAGATTAATACATAAATAAACATAAGAACTACATATCAATGATTAAAGAGATAAGGAGATAAAATCATACAACTTAATTGCGAACGTGCCATCCAATATCTAATTAGCTTTGTTAAGTGTTTAGCGCCATCTAGTGTCGAATAGCGGAACTAATAATTTTTGATAAAATGAATTTTCTTTTATTTTAGATCATTTGTATGAATTAATATACTTATAATATGAATGTTCTTTGTTTGGAATGTTTACTTTTGACGTTTAACTTAAGAATCAACTGTAACCAATGGATACTGTTAGTAAAATTGATTTAAATAAATATCAGTAGCTTTTATGTTTAACCTTAATGTTTACCTATAAAAAATAATAAATCCTGGACATATATGAGTTCTCTATATACATTATATCATATACATTATAGGTACAGTTTATCCTATAAGCAAAGCAAAATTAAAATTAAATAATTATGTCATTTTACTGATGGTAGATCAGCATATCTTTAAAAGTTATTCTTAGTTACTTATTAGTTAGAATTTTTATAATTTTGCATTATGTTATATTTCAAACATTTAAGCCTTACCTTCTACTAAAATAAAATTGTTAAGAAGCGTCCTGGTACGCCGTCTATCTGTTCAGCTAAATCAAATAACTATTATTAAATCATTTTGTTGGATTTATTTGTATGGAATAGGGTATCACTACTGTCGTTGAAACATGTATCTATTTTAATATTAGTAACTGTATTTAATTTATTGTTGGAATGTGACGCCATCTATTGACACGTACTAATAATTGAGCACAATAAGATTTGCAACTAACGCCACCTATTTATTTATGTGTTAAAATATAACATACTAAATGAAATTAATGTAACTAGATGGCGCTCATAATGTAGCAAATGAAAGATGTCCTCGACAAGAACAAACTCAGTTTAAATAAATGGCAGCAGATGGCACTTATTATATATATATCGATAGTAGTATAGTATAATTATGTACTCTCCACTCGCTTCGCTCGGGTTCGCCCTTAAATACGTTTAAACAGACCGACGGACAGACAGACAAAAATTCCAAACACTGCCCACTGTATCAATAATAACGATTATTTCGATAAAATTTTCCCAAAAATATTTATGTACAGATTCGACTCAGTTAGAATTTTATTTTATGCGTTATGACGTGGTATCGATATATTTTTAACTAGAGACTCACCCTGGCTCCGCTCGTGTTCGTCCCTACTTACGTTTTAACGCTTAGTGTAGCTTTTTCAGAGATGATATATATTCCCACAGTAAAAAAAATCCTATATGTTGACCCGGATAACCAGCTATCATCATACCAAACATCAAAATCCCTCCAGCGGTTTTCCGTGATGCGATCACAGACAGACAGACAAACAAAAATTCTAAAAACTATAGATTCGGCCTCTGCATCGATAATAAATAATAATGTCTATTTCAATAAGATTTAAAAAAATATATTTAATGTTATTAATGTTATTATTATGTTATTCGGCTTAGTTACAATTTTATTAAATGTATAGATTTAAGGATATAATCTGTTATTTTAATAAAACTATGTAACTAAATTATTGAAATGCCTATGTTTTATTTTATAATGTAACTCTTCATAACGGATATGTAAAGAATATCCTATTATATTCTTTTGTTTCTAAAGAGGATAAATGGTTTTTTTCTTCTGAGATAACTTTATAAGTGATAAAAATAGGTAATTAGAAGTAAGTAAATTAGAAAATCGGTATAAATGTAATCTTAAGACAAATTTGTCTTGTCAATTTTTTTATCACGTAACATCAATAGCTAATTCAATTCAATTTTCTTGTTAATGGCTTCAAATCGTGCTAGTTAAACACAGATTACTTCGTCAGTGTCAAAATGGAGAAGGCACAAAAAAGAATTTTAAACTATAATGAATAAATAATATTAAATCTTAATTACAGATAAGTTGGACCTTCAATAGCCTAGAAGTGAAATATCTGTGACATACGGACAGGACGAAATTATAAGGGTTTCGTTTTTGCCTTTATCCTACGGAACCCTAAAAACATAAGACGGAAACGGAATTGAGTTCTTCCTGCTTTTTTGAAATCACCAAAAAATTCACAAAACAAATATGTAATTGTTATATAACAGTTTAGGTGGAAATGCGATAAACTTCGCGTTATCATTTAAAACAAACAGCGGTTACGATGTGTTGAATAATAAATAATTAATGCCAATCAATAAACCCGACCGTGTCAAAGAATATCATTAACTTTATTTTATTTTCTACCTATCATTTTAAATTTACAAGGTCGCCATTGTAATCCAAAAAAGTACATTTTTTATGTTTAATTTGAAAAATAATACTGATTTTTATGTTTTATGTTATTATTCATTCATTAAAAAAATCATGAAACTTCTCCATTTTACAAAAAGCCATTCCCATGGGAAAGATAAAAAATTATGCCACATCTATAATTTCCATAGTCTACGTAACTACTAGTCGTCACTCCACAGTCCACACGAATCACGAATCTCATTTCAATTTAGTTCATCACGGCAGTCGGAATTATTCATACACTATGGCTAAGGTTAGATTTATTAATACATTATATAGCTGTTTTACATTATAACGTAATATTTTTATCTATACTTTACTGTATAAAAACAGTTTATTTTAGTCTTTAGTTGTTTGTATAATACATAAATTGTGTGAAGCAATTTTCATTATTTCATATACGAGTAGTTATAGGTTATGTTTCTACGGTAGTGAAAAAAAAGCGAAAAGGACTGTCGACAGAAGTGAAAACTTAAAAATATAAACAAACAATTATTACTTTTGGATATTCAAATTAATTGTTTTATCTTAAAATAAAATTTGTAAATTAAAACTGTTTACATTTATCTGGTTTTGACATCTATCGGCAGTCTGAGTGTTAGCGTTAACACGTCACGTGACCATGTGATGACGACTTACATGAATTTACTCCCCATCCAAACCTGCCTATAGTCCAGTCATATTAGGGGTTTCACCTCGGAATGAGAGGTAATAAGCTGTAAACTCGTATTAACCTTTATTTTGGTGTTCTTTAAAAAGTTGTCTCAAAAATCTCATGAAATCTCGTGTCCGCATCGTAAGTTATTCAAGGTCAGAGGACACAAAAGTCCGTTACTTGCGATTATATCGGTTTCTATAGCTCCAATGATGTTAACATTCATTATAAAAATTGTAGAACATAAAATTTGAGTTTTATTATTTATATTTCATTTACAAAAACAGTTTTACCCTTATTGGTGAAATGGTCTTGGAAAATTTTGAATTTTAGATAATTTTGAGGTCGATCGGCACCCAACGTTTGAATATTAATTTAAAATCTATACTATAAAACTGTAGAGGTCGAATGTCAGTACATATCAAAAAAATGCTAAAAACCGAGTCAGGGGGATATAAGAAGACAAATAGAACGAATCCAGATTTTTTTCAAATTTGTTGTTTCTCTGTCTGTTTGTACGGGCTAATCTCCGAATATATTGGACCGATTTAAATAAAATTTTGCATGGTGGTACCTTATATCCCCGGGCAACATCTTAAATACTTTTTATCCCGAAAAATTAGTTCCCGTGGGATAGTGAAAGGAAAACTATAATAACTTATACAGCTTAGTACACAAAACTACTGATTCGATTTTAATAAAACTTTACTATGATATAGTTCATACATGACCATAATAAATCGGCTGCTTTTCATCCCGGAAAATTGAAGGGTTCCCGTGGGACAATAAAAAAAAACTATAGTAACTTATACAGCTTAGTACACAAAAACTACTGATTGGATTTTGATGAAACTACGATAATATAGGTCATACATATCAGAATAACAAATAGGTTACTTTTTATCCCGGATAAATGTACGGTACGGTGCGTGGGAACTAATAGATCTCTATTAGTGTTTTTCTAGAGCTAGTTAATAATATTAAATATAAAACATCATTTAATTTTCAAAATGATTATCACTTGTCTCATGGTGAAGGTAAACATCAAGTTGTCGAAAGAATCTATACATATAATAAAACTGTAGAGGTTAAATGTCTGTACAAAGAAAAAAAATGCTAAAAACCGAGTCAAGGGGATGTAAGAAGAGAAATAGATCAAATTCAGTTTTTCTCAATTTTTTTGTTTCTGTGTCTGTTTGTCTGTTGACTAATTTAAATGAAATTTTGCTTAGTGGTACTTTATATTCCTGACAATATTTTACATACTTTTTATCCCGGAAAATTAAAGAGTTCCCGTGGGATAGTTAAAAAACTATAGTAACTTATACAGCTTAATACACAAAAACTACTGATTTGATTTTAATGAAATTTTACAATAATGTACTTCATACATCAGAATAACAAATAGACTATTTTTATCCCGGAAAAATGTACGGTTCCCGTGGGATAGATTTGTTTTTGTTTGTCGCTAGTATAGTATAAAGTACAATAACCTGTACTTAGCCGCAGTGGTGGTTTTTAGCCTGATCTTCCTTGCATTCATGGGAGACCCGTGCCCAGCAGTGGGACGTTAAATACTTAATTCTTTATCTTTTATTTCAGGTCAACATACCAACATTCAAACTAAACAATGGGCTAGAAATTCCTGCTTTAGGCTATGGAACGTGGCTAGGTACCAACGATAAAGTAAGTTTTATATATTAATAGTTTTTTTCCCGCGGTTCTCTGGCGGTAACTGGGCGAGGATCAAAGGTTTCCTATAAAGTTTATATCCACAAAATTTATGGACGATTTTTGTTTCTTCGATGATTTTTGTTTCTTCGATGAATCTGTGCATTATTGAATTACACACTTTTCACCACACCTTAATCTGGCGGTTTCAAGTATTTCGAAAATAATTTTTTTTTAATTTTGATCGACTGCTGCACGATCTTATACAGAGGACTTATATATGGTGGAGGAGATACAAGGAGATCCCATGCCCTTACGTTAATCTGCCGTGCTTAAGTAAATCCCAAAATACCCTCGTGGGCTCCCCTACTATAACCAAACAGTAAATATTACAACATTTTTCCTGTTATATTTTATGTTATCACTATACATAATGTGCTTAATGGTTGAAAAAATACTCCGAGCCAGTCTAGTAGATAAGAATTGTCTTGTTTTTTTATGACGTAGAGTTATTCTCCTAATTTATATTTTATCAATATAACTAGCGACTCACTCTCGCTTCGTTCAGCTTCGCCCCTAGGTACGTTTTGACGCTTATCATGGAATAGTTTTTCAAATTCAATTTTTTCTCGTGAATTTTCCCGATGTTTTAATATTTATTCTGTTTTATTCGGTCTGAAGGCATATAAAAAAACAAAGATTATAAAAATCTTTCCAGTAGTTCTCGAGTTATAAGTGTTGTAACAAACTTAACTTTGTTCTATATATATAGAATTTGCAGGCTGATTTTCTGATAGGAGATGCGCCTAAGCTCGTGGAAGCAATGTCTTACGCCATCGACGTCGGCTATCGACACCTTGATACCGCTCACTTGTATCGAGTGGAACCAGAAGTAGGTTACGTTGTGAAGAAGAAGGTAGAAGAAGGAGTGGTGAAAAGGGAAGATTTATTTATAACTACTAAGGTAGGTTTCCTATATATGCAACTGGTTCATTTCTGCCGCTCTAGTGGCTAGAATGTACGGTTGTAGATCCGAAGGTCCTGGATTCAAGTCCTAGGCCAAGCCAAGTATGGTTATTGATTTTTACTGTATTCACCGTAACAGCCCAAAGTCGGGAAGTTGGAAAGTTGGCAGTGTTACATCACCATACTGAGGTAGACCACGTGTCGAGTCCACCCTGCGAGTGTCAAGTCGTCAGAAAACAAACTTTAAAAGTATACAATATCTACTTGTGTGGTCTCTAGCTTATTTTCACGTAACTCGGCAAAAATGTCGCTTCGTATTTTTTTTACTGCAGGTTAAAAAGTCACGAAAACGAATCTATTGAAACTATTAGCTGATAACTCTTAAACGGTAAAAGTTATCATAAACTTAGGTCAAACAAAGTTTTTAGGGGAAACGAAAAAACTTCTCGACAAAAAATAACTTTACATCATTTATAAAAATAAAGTGCCTCATACAGTCCAATCGGAATCCGGTTCGAGAACAAATTAGGCTACTTGATCATATTTATATAATAAAACAGTTAAGCTATTTACGAATCAACGACATCTATTATCCATTCAAGAAAACAAAAAAAAAACCTAAGAATTGCCCGAATTAGCGCTGTCCAATTTCTTTGTATGGGATGAGGCATATGTACTCAGTACTAGTATAATGTCATCTGTGCTTTCAAATATATAACCGAGGAACGTGAGCAAAGTGGAGATAGGTAATATTAATTTGCTTTCATATGTTTCAGGTGTGGAACCATAATCACAGGCCTGCGGATGTGGTAGCTTCAGTGAAGGGTTCTCTAAAGAGGATGGGCTTAGATTATGTTGACTTGGTTTTAATGCACTGGCCTATGTCTATTTCTGTTAGTAGCTTTAAGCTATTTCAATTAATGTATATTCACTTATAACAAAATATAAAAGTATGATAAAATTTTGCACACAAATACACCTTTTCTTGGACTAACACAAACTTTTTATCCTTATGTATTAAAATTTCTTTGGGATACAAATTTATTGCTAAAACTAATTTGTTGCGACTTAAAATAAGTAATATGTTTTTTCCCCTATTCCAGGAGAACGGTGTTGATGAGAAAATCGACTATTTAGACACTTGGAGAGGGTTCGAATCTGTTTTGGAGCAAGGTCTTGCCAAATCAATTGGAGTTTCCAATTTTAATGTGGAACAGTTGACACGTCTTCTGAAAAACTGTAAAGTGGTGCCGTCGGTTAACCAAGTTGAAGTAAGTAAGATATTCTATAAGTAGCATATATACTTTGACTTAACAGGCGTTTAATAAACTGCAATGTATGGAGCTCATCGAAACGAATCAGATGAGCGTAATCTCGAAGATATAATTAGTACCCATTGAAGATTTCTATTAGCTTCATCAGCTCAGCTCGGTGATATCTAAGTATTAGTTCTTTTTATTTAATTTATTTTGTTCAACATTTTAAATCAATAGAGAAAAAATGCGGTAAGAATTTTTGGACTGACTTCAAAAAGGAGGAAGTAGATGAATGGTTGCCTTTTTAATTACCCCATATACTTAGTAAACAAATACCCTAAAAATGCTACCCCTAAGATAAGTTTAAATAATTTTTTTTGTTTAAATAAATATGTTGGTATATTAACACACAGCATCATCTAGTTTGATGGTAAGCTAGGAGGCTTGTTATAGATACCTACTAGATGATGATGATGATGATGATATGATACACTACACATATATAACTTTAAATACATACATACCGACATATTATAAATACGAACATCCATGACTGGAGTACAAACATTCTTAATCATCACAGAAATGAATGTCCCTAGCAGGACTCGAACCCGCAACTGCAAGCGCAGCAAGTACACTACAAAGTACAAACTGAGCCAAACGTGTCGTCAAAAGTTCAAACACCTTTTTTGCAGATTAACTTGAACCTTGGTCAGAAAGAACTAGTGGATTTCTGCCAAAAGAATAACATTTTGGTAGTAGCGTACACGCCGTTCGGCAAGATGGTGCCGAGTCGGACCGACGACAGCCCCGCCGTCAAGTACGACGACCCCATCGTTGGCTCTATTGCTAAGAAACATGGGAAATCTGTTACGCAAATAGCTTTGAGATATTTGGTAAGTATATTATTTAGTACGCGACTTACCCCCGCTTCACTCGAGTGCGTTCTTAGATGTCTTTTGTATTTATCACTTGTACTGTAACTGAGTCGAATATGAACATTTAATATTTTTTGGAAAATCTTTTTGAAATAGTCATTATTATTGTTACAGAGGCCGAATCTATACTTTTTAGAATTTTTCATTGTCTGTCTGTCTGTGACCGCATCACGAGAAAAGTACTAAACAGATTTTGATGAAATTTGGTATGATGATAGCTGGTTGTCCGGGTCAATATATAGGCCTATTTACTGCGGGAAAATATCTCATCTCTGAGAAATCTATAGTAAAGGTTAAAACGTAACTAGGGACGAACCCGAGCGGAGCGACAGGAGTAGTGTATATCTCCAGATCGTAGTATATTGGTGTTATAAATTTTACTCAAGCCAGTTCAGTCCATCCATTTCAGCCTAGGTCACTAACAAACATATATACTCATAGACTTTCACGATTATAATATTAATATCATCTTTCCTTCCAGTACCAACGCGGTATCTGCAGCATACCAAAAACATTGACCAAAAGCCGGGTCATCGAAAACGCATCGATATTCGATTTTGAATTGGACTCGGAAGATGTATCGACTTTACAAAAATTCGATATAAACTATAGAACTGTTAATCCGACGTTTTGGCAAAATATAGAAAACTATCCGTTTGATAAAGAAGAAACCGATGTACCGGAAATACCTGAAGTCCTATTGAGATGGAAAAATGGTGCAAACCAAGATATTGATTGAAGAATTCAAGCGTTGAAAGTGAGAAGAAATGTTGAAGAATTAAATATTAAAAAAGTATATCTGTTATTAATATTTTCTTGCTTTTTCTTTGGAACAATGACCCTTTTGATCAATGACAATGACCCATTCTTCATATTTGAAGATTGTTCTAATTACGGGAGATAAGAAACAAGGGAAGTGCTAAGTAGGCGTGGCGTGTTTGTTACAATCAGGCACGCTACGCTGTTGAGCGTATATGAGATGTCAGGGGTTCCAACGTTGCGTGGGATAAGGGATTGCACGTCTTCGAATATTCTTAGTATTCCGTAACTATGCTACACTGTTCCATTTTAAAGTGCAAATATAACAGTAGGAGGAAGAACCTTAAAAATAGAGGTGTTTCGTACCATCGCTCATCATGATTATATGTGATTTTTACAAAAACTTAGTTCATTTCAAAATATGAATTACTAGAGACTCACCCTCCCTTCGCTTCGGGTTCGTCCCTAGACATAAACATATCTATCCCATGGGAACCGTACATTTTTCCGGGATGATATATAGCTTATAGCCTTCCTGAATAAACGGGCTATTTGATGCAGAAAGAATTCGTTCGTCAGTAAAAACGTGACGTCTGGCGGCCCTGGGATCTTGGACTACGGTTGAAGCATGTATCTGTTTCAATATTAGTAACTGTATCTTTAATTTATTGCTAGAATGTGACGTCATCTATTGACACGTACTAATAATTGAGCACAATAAGTCTTGCAACTAGCGCCACCTATTATTCATGTGTTGAAATACAACATACTAAATGAAATTACTATATACTAGGTGGCGCTCATAATGTAGCAAATGAAAGATGTCCTCAACAAGAACAAACTCAGTTTAAATAAATAAAGATGGGGGTGCAAAAGTACACGCAGATAACAAATAACACGTCACACGACTAATTTCAAAATCATAACGAACCATTTTAAAAATAAAAAATATATATTTAAAACATTGTTTATTAACTATTTGTAAAATTCCTGTGTGAACATTATTTAGTTTTTTTTAAATAAGCTTTTTTTTTCATTATTAATGCCTGATGATAGTTTTCAATAAGCACCATTGGTCAGGTACAATTTAATGTAAAAAATGTTCCCATATTACATATTTCGATATTTAATCAAATTTACTCCTTTTGTACATTAATAGCAATAATTCACGATTTACATCAGATATCATACTGAATTATACTATTTTGAAATCTACTTTAAACACGCATTTTTTTAAAATTATCGGTCACTCATGTATTCATACTTTTTTTTAAACCCAAGAGGCTTAAACTTTGTCAAAAACGATATTTTTTACAATTTTTTCACTGAAAAAGTTAATTCAAGTCATTTAAAAAAAAGTGCAATAGCTTGTCTTATTATTTACTACCTATCTATTGGCATGGTTAGTGTACATTAAAATAACAAAAACTCGATGGAATTCATTCATTTTCTGGTTGTAGTGTTCAATAATTTTAAATACGATAAAAATTTGTAGTCTTTTTAAAAAAAACATATCTTAGGTACTACTTACAATATGGTTTTGTATTTTTTTTCTGAACGGCAGACTAAGACATACTTGACTTGTCATTTTTTATGACGTACCATCAATAGCTAATTTAATTCAATTTTTTTATTAATGGCTTCAAATCGTGCTAGTTGAGCACAGATTAATTCGTCAGTGTCAAAATGGAGAAGAAACAAAAGAAAATAGATTAACCCTACAACGTCACAATTTCACAAACTTTACCTCTTTATAATATTAGTATAGATAATAAATAAATAATATTGAATCTTAATTACAGATAAGTTGTACCTTCAACATCCTAGAAGTGAAATATCTATGACATACGGACAGGATGAAATTATTAAGGTTTCGTTTTTGCCTTTATCCTACAAAATCCTAAAAACATAAAACGGGATTGAGTTTTTCGTCCTTTTTTGAACTCACCAAAAATTCACAAGACACATATGTAATTGTTATATAACAGTTTAGGTGGAAAAGCGATAAACTTCGCGTTATCATTTAAAATAAACAGCGGTGTTGAATGATAAATAATTATTAATGCCAATCAATAAACCCGACCGTGTCAAAGAATATCATTAATTTTATTTATTTTCTACCTATCATTTTGAAATTAACAAGGCCGCCATTATAATACAAAAAAACCATTTTTATGTTTACTGTAAAAAATTATACAAGTTTTTATGTTAAATGTCAATTTTCATTCTTAAAAATATCATGAAACTTCTTCATTAAATATAAAAAGCCATTTCCATGGGAACGATAAAAAAATTATGCCATATCTAGAATTGCCCTATCTAGAATTTCTATACTCTACGTAACTACTAGTCATCCCTCCACAGTCCACACGACTCACGAATCTCATTTCAATTTAGTTCATCACGGCAGTCGGTATTATTCTTACACTATGGCTAAGGTTAGATTTATTAATACATTTTTACATTTTAACTCTCCAGGTAAATTTTATTAATTTTATTAATTTCTAAGAAATCTATTGTTAACTGTAACGCCGGCGTGTCCGCGGTCGTGGAAGTATTAACTTAATATTTTTATCTATACTTTACCATAAGAAACAGTTTATTTTAGTGTTTAGTTGTTTGTATTTTACATACGTACATTGTGAGAAGTAATTTTCATGATTTCTTATTTGAATCCCTAATTACTAAAAGGCACTTGTCACATGTGAATTCGCTAGTAAATATTTTACAGAAGGAAAAATTAAATATTTCATAAGTGACAAGGTTTCACGATTTCGTTATTTTGTATGTGTAAATATATATATTTAGCTATCATATAGTAAGAAAAACTACATTCTTCTATCAATAGTTTTAGTAGAAACTTACAGACAAATAGTTGGACATGTAACCTTTCAGTTTAAAATTATGGTTGGGACGTGTGCCCTTTTAACATTATAATGCGAAATAAAATTGAAATAGAATACCATGTTGCATTATTTATACTGTAAAAATATATTACAATGAAATTAAATCTATAGACATGCACAACTTTATAAATTTACTATACTCCAATTGTAAATACTAGCCCAATACCCTAAAAAGTCTTGTGGTACTGTTCAAGTTTCTTTAAGTCTATCATTTTGCTATTTTTAATTGGTACTACTTCACTGTATTTTCGCTGGTCAGGAAGGGCAACATTTTCATTTCACTTTTGTTTTACGGAGCTTGAATTTGTGTCTTACTATTCCATTATCTAATATAGTTTTTTGAATTTTTTTTTTTTGAAAAATTTGAATTCATTCAGAAATATTTTGTTGTAAAAAAGGGCACATGTCAATGGTCAAGTGCCGTTTTAGTAATAAATAAAAAAAACAATTGACTTTTGTAGTACTTAACGAACTATGACAAGTGCCCGTTTAAGACAGATGATGCAGTTTAGTACTGACAACACGAAAAATGAAAAAAAAGTCGTAAAAAAATGGTCATGTGCCTTTTGAGTATTTAGTGATTCATTTATTAGGGATAGGTTACGTTTCTACGGTTATTTAGTAATATAGAAATATATTGAGTTATTATAATAGAATAATACTTTCTTAGATTTACGCGAATATTTGATATTTTAAATAAAACTTTCTTTTCGAATTTTTTTGCGAATTAATTTTGATTTTTGGTTCCTGACGTTTCGAATGCTTTGCAGCAATCATGGTCACGGAGAGACCTTAAAATAATTTTAACTTTAAAAATAATACATGTCATATTATTTATAATTTTTATTTACGTATGTATTTTTGTTTTCATGCACATATGTATTCAAATCTCATTAAAAACGGTGCATGATTTGAATTATTTGATTTATCTGTTATATAAATAAGCAAGGACCTACCTTTTTCTCTTTTGTTTGTCAACCAATTTTCTTTTCTTTGCTGTAGTAAGTTAGTAAGTAGCCTTTGACGAGCTTTAGTTTTATCGAATAAAAAAAATTGAAACAGATTTTTTTATAGATAGGTAAATTCATTCAAAGTTTTCGTCTTTATTGTAGCCTAATAAGGATTAATTTCATCCAAATCTGAAAATACTGGAAAGCATTTTCAGCGTGAATGAGTAACAAATATATATAATTCTCAAATATAAAATAGTAATTTCATAAAAGCTTATTTCCTTACTGATTTCGAAAAGGACGGTGTATTTAATTTGTTTTTTTTTTCTGTTTTGAGATCTTCACCACTTATGAATCTATTTTCATAACATTTTTTTATATAGTTTAATTTTCAATTACAAAACCAGTTCCACCCTTAAAGGTGGAATGGTGGTGGAAACTGTGCAATACTTATGACATATTTATATTTATGATATATGTATGTGATACATATGTATAGAAAAGTAGCACTTTAAAAAATAAATATATATATCCTTTACTTGAGAAATTAATCAAATTATTGATTCCCCATACAAACTTCCACCCCCTCTTTTTACCTCCGTAAGGGAGGATTTCCGGGATAATAACTATCTTATGTCCTTCTCAGGATCTTAAACTATCACCTTGCCAAATTTCATCTAAATAGGATCAGCGGATTAATCGTGAAAAGGTAACAAACAGACGCATCTATAATATTAACCAGTAAGGATACCATATGTTACGTAATAACGGATATCTATGTTTTTATCATAATATTATTTATCACAATATGTTCATAAAGCTGTTATAGATATTGGAGATAAGGAAACATCTATTGGTTCAACGTTTGTAGTGTTTTCCAGAGTAGGTAAAAACATTTTATTTGAAGGATAAATAAACGATTCCCATACGATAGATTAAGTCTTTATGATAGTAAAAAACTCATATACGTTAAAGTGTAGAAAACAAGAAGAAATTCGTATGAGAAATTTTGTGTTTTGATACAACTAGCAGCATTAAGAATCACGAACAAACTTCTTAGTTTTATAGATTGTTATTGTTATTTTTATTTTGATGAAATAGAAATGAATAAAAACGATTTG